CATATTCTTATTTGAGAAACTTTATATGTTATTGTTTGTTTTTCCCTTGCTGCTCTCATGATTTTCTCCTTTTCCTCAAAGTTGGATAGTTAACTAGTATGTGCCATGGTGACTTCTTGGGATTCAGTCTAGCTGGTGTTATTTCAGCTTTCTGAATGGCTACCTGGTTTTCATTCATTAAGTTTTCCTCCAAGAATTATCTCACTGTTGTTGCAGATGACTTCTTTGTTGTGTCTTCCTCCAGTAAGCCAATAATTTAATGTTGTTCCACTTCATAGCATCAAAGCTCTTAGGTTTTCTTCAGCTTCTCTGATGATTTTATTGGATTTTTGTTCTCATTTGTTAAGCTCTGCTTGGCTGTCCTCCAAGTCACTGATGCAGTTCTCTGCTTCCTCCAGTCGATTCTCCAGGTCCGTGAGTCTGCTACTGGTTTTTGTTATCACCTCCCGAAGTTCCAGTATTTCTCTTTGATGTATGGACTTTATCTCCTCTATCATTTCATCCTTTTTCTGTCTTGTTTCCTTCATAATGCTGTATGACTCCAAGCCGCATTCTGAAAATTTCTTTCGGTGACAGCTCAACGTCTGCTTCTGTCATTGCCTTTTGTTTCTCCTGTTTTTTTATTTTTGTTGAGGTTGTTGGGGCTGATGGCTGTTTGCATTGCGTTGTTTTAGAGGAGCCAGGTGCCATTTTCTAGGGAGTCAAAGAGCACTGGTTCCCTCTGGGAGACTTGAAGGAGTGCTTCTTCAAACTGCCTACAGCTAATTTCACTATGGAATTAGCCTACCATTTTATCCTCCTGTGGCTTCACTCTCAGGGGAGTCCCCCAGAAGGCTGGTGGGTTGCCTGCTTTGGTGTTTCAGAGGTTGGGCAGAGGTTCCTGCAGCAGCTTGGAACGTTGACGAGTGTTGGCTTAGCTGCCTTAGGCCCCCAGGCACACAGGCAGGAATTCCCGGTAAAAAGTTGGGCGGAGTATCCCCTGGTGGAGGTTGGCAGGGCAGCCCCTCAAAACCTTGTGGGTCTGTGCCTGCTTACCTTTATGATGCTCCTCCTGCAGTCTAGCAGTGTTGAATTTTCCTCTAAGTAACTCTCCTGGGCTGAATTCTGCGGAGTCCCTCGGGTGTGTATTACTGTCGCCATCTTCCCGGAAGTTGAAATACACATTTTAATATCATTTAGTACTTGATTCATTATGTCCTAACAAATACCAAATTAATGAGGCATTATTTCATACCTCTCCCTCACAGATTACTTAAAGCTTCTTATAACAAATATAACTACAGGGGGAAATCATTAAAAACAATATAATCAATTGCTATTGACCCATGTGATCTTGAGAGAGTATTTTCTATCTTATAAAATGGTTGTTATAGTTGGCTCTCTCCATATCCTGACCAGTTTGAGAATTGTACATGGGAAAGATCTAAGAATTTTATTGTGCAATATTAGTATGGCTGTGTTATCCTCTTCCTGAAAATTTTTCAGAAGTCCACTGAACACGGGTTTTAAAAGTAAGCAGTAACTCCAGAGTTATAAGAATTAACTTGTAATTCCTAAAGATGGAATTCATGTGCTGAGGGGTGTGGCACGCCTCTGTAACCAGCATAAGGTCACCACAAACAATCAGCCAGTGTGTTAGTGTTTTGAAAATAAAGTTCTATTTATTTAACCAGTCTCATGTTGAAACATTTGATAATTCTAAGCTTTTTACTTAAAGTAAAGAGTCAGCTCATTGAAAAATTATTATTTGGTAAAGTGACCTGCATGCA